AAATACATAATAGTGAGGTGCACATTATTTTATAATGCGCATAAGCATTATTTTGAATCCAAATATGCTATTTTTTAGGCACAATTTTCAAAATAATGCACATACCTGCTATTTCGAAAATTTATGGTAAGGCCATCTTTATTTTTTGTCAAAATATAAATAAAAAAAAAAAAAATCATATATAATTTACTTTCTTATAATGAATTAACAATTCTTATAGCATTACAATTAGTTTTCAGAAATGTGTGAAATTTGATCAAATACAATAACTACACTTTAGAGTTTTACTTCAAAAATTGTATTCAATTTTATTCGTCATTTATATCTTGGTTTCTTCTAGTATATATTTTTTTGTCAATATTATTAATTAATTATTCTTATACTTGAAACTTTATTCAATTAACATTTAAGCTTATGTGAATTAGAAATTTTTGAAAAATTCTGTATTGGAATTGATATAGTAGTTTATAAACATTTATTAAGAAATTAACGTTTTTCTCTAAATTTTAGAATTATTATTGCATTTACAGTTACATTTATTGATTAAATATTTATCTTAATTTTATATAAAAACATGTATATATTCAAATTGTAAATAATAATAATAACTTTATTAATAACATATTCACTATGTATATATGCGTACCGTCAAGTGAAAACTATAAAAACCAATTATACTGTTTTTAATATCATTTGAAGTCCATATACCATTGTCTAAAGAATCCTATATTTAGAAGTCCTGGTTTCACTTGGCAGCACTCATATTTTATCACAGATCTAACCTACATGAATATATATCAATACATTCTCAACTATACAGTAAAAAACTAAGGGTAAGCACACAACTTACCAAAATCACAATTAATCTTACCACTTAAAATATCCTTAAATTTACTCCATTTACAATATTCACCATCACAATCCGGAATTATGTATGGTTCAAAATTAACTACAAGTCGCATTAATACATCTTTGCCTGGAGAAGTATAAATTTCAAAGTATATAGTAGAAGTCCAATATAAAACTTTTTGTGTTATATACTTTAAGCTTTTCATTTGTTCGAGAGTCAAATCTGCTGTAAGTGGATATTCGTCTTTAAATACACCCTATGATCAAACAGTATTTATTAGTAATTAATAAAAAATAATAAATAAATTCTATTGAAAGATAGTAAAATTTTTTTTACATACCAACGTAGTAAGTACAATCTTCTCAGTAAATCCATGACCAAATTTCAGGTCAGCTACCATCCGAGATTTCCCGTTTAAGTAATCCTCAACGCTATTTACAAATTGTGTAATGTAGGCACAACCCAATTGCTCATTAAGAGGATTCCCATATGAATATAGAAAATAATCTCTCATATTCCAATAATATCGAGCAAGCATAAGATCATCATCACTTAACAATGCACACCAAGTGTCAGCTCGATTAAAGTGAAGTACCCAGAACTCACAATAATAAAACATATCTGCTATTGAAATCGGATCAAGAGGTGGACTAATATTGTATTTTTTGGACATTCTTTCTGCTATTGATGCTAAAGTCTTATTACCGTAAGAATAAGATTGCTCTATATAAAGTGTAAAATTATTTGAAACTGTCTGGTTCCAACGTTGACAAGCATTAAACATTTGTAAAATATAATCATAACTCTAATATATAAAATAATATAATAATATGAGTAATTAAAATTAATAAATAAATAAATTAATATATATACTTATATAAGGCCGTTTGAAGTTAAGACTTCGTTTAGCGTTTTTTTCGTATTTACAGGGAGAAGGGAGAAATTAAACAAACAAAAAAAATAAACATATAGTGTACCGAACTATCCGACAGTAAGCCAGAAACATTCAGCCCTTTATATCGATCAATTTGTTACTTCTGTTTGTTTAATTTGAGGGGAAACTCAGGAGACAGAGGGGGGAATAACGTTAAACGAAAAATCAACTACAAATGGCCTAATATTTACCGTTGGCAAAGACCAAATGTATACTGGCTCATTTTTACAGGCGCCTACGGGGCCAGTTCCATCAAATAGTCCTTCTGAAAAAGCCATGGCCGATTGACTGACCCTGAAATATATTTAATGAATATATGGTAAGTATATTGTACAATATGTCATGCCTGAAGTTGCAACTTCAAACATATTAAGTTACACCTGCTTAGATTAATACTTGTGACAGCTGAAACTGATATTGGCTAAAGTTGGGATTTAGGGCACTATGTAATCTACTGACATATTTTACCTATAAAACTTTACTTATCCTCTTCTATAACCACCCTAAATCTAAACACAAAAATTTTAAAAAATACGCATAATAAAAAACTTTTAAATTTCATATTAAAAAATAAACTCAGTTTCAGCCACCACAATTCTTAAGGCTTCTAATTTGCATTTTCTATCAGATGTAACTTCAGGACAAGAGTATTATAATGAATATACGCAATTTACCAAAAAACATTAGCAGTCTGAAATTTTACAACATCAACATCATATTCAACATTTTTCCAAAATTTTTCGTATCTTTTAAGAGATTGTAAACCACTGTAATAAGATTCGAGTTTACCTCTTGTAGTTAATCGATAATTTTTTTCCATGGGGAAAGGATTTTTAGGCTAAAAATTATTTTTTATTTAAATAATACTTTCTATTTGTTATATTGTATTAAATAAAAAATAATTTACCCAATGTTTTGCTACGGAAACATTTGCAAATGCTTTATCAATTTTATCAAAGGCTCGAATCTGGTCAGGAGTTGGAAATCTCGATCCTAAATAAATAGTTTCCAAAAAAAATTACTTTGTATCATAAATTTTCGTTGTGTTTATGAATAAATAATTACCATGTCTACTAAGTAAAAATAATTGATTTAATGTATAATTATCAGGATAGTTTATAGGCTTAATGTCATCAAGAGAAAAAGCATCCTTTGCTGGTCTAATTTCGAAAAAATGATTATTGATAAGGTAATCAGGAGAGTGCTTATATAAAAATGGTTCATGTTCCGAACATAACGTTAGTTTATCGAATAAAGATAATGAGAAAATAAAAGTAAACAATTGAATACTATATGAAATCATTGCCTTTTAGAAATATTGAATACTTTTCAGTAAAATTGAATTGAAATCAAGCATTTATGTACAAAGTTTTCAAAAACGCAAAAATGGATGATCGACAAATCGCATCGCATACAGAAGGTTGGTGATAAAATCTGTTGCCTGTATGATATAGGTGAGCAAATACGTATAAATAGATCAATGAGTTAAATAGATCAATAAATAAACTTTAAAAGATTTATATACTAGCTTAAATTGGTCAATTTTTATATATTGTAAATTCTCGAATGAATGGGCATCTGCGCGCTATTTTGAGTACTTGCGAGCTATTTCGAGTACGCCCATGAATATTGTTTCAAATATATTGGCTGACGTTCTGCATTTTTAACTTACTGTATTACGCGAAATAACGCATATCTGCGTGTTATTTGGAGGAGATGCGCGTTATTTCGAGTACGCGAATGGGCGTTATTTCGAGGTGAAGGATACACCCCAATAACTGATGGTAAGTATCAAGGTGATTTATTAATATTAGTATATGGGATGTACGTACGTTATTTCGGAAACTAACTATGCTATTTTAAGGAAATGCGATTTTCAAAATAACGCCCATGTGCGTTATTTCGCGTAAATACGGTAGAATAAATTTTCATAAAAATAGCTCATGAACTAGAGATGTGCGAATGCATATTTTTTGGCTCTGCATTGCAAAATGCAGCATAATGCAGCATGAGACATTATGCGATCGTGGTGTTCTACCAAAATCAAGAAGCAAGATTCATGCCCAATCTTTCTTATCTCTAGACAGCAGTTTACTATATTATTAGCTGCCCGATAAGATAGTATCGGAACAGCATTTTGTCTCTAATCGAATACGGAGTTTAATTAATTGATCAAATGATTATTGTATTATTATGATTTATTGCTTGATGAGTAGGGGCCAGGGACACGGAATTTATGTGATTTAGTGTGATTTAGTGTGATTTAAATTCGTTGATAGCTATCAGTTACACAAAAATTACTATAAAATAATTAGTAATTATGTGATTTGATGCAGTTTGTAAGAATCGCACTAAAAAACATCGCATAATTTCCGTGTCCCTGGTAGGGGCGCATTATGCAAACGTTTATAGCAAATGACGTAGCTTTTAATTGTTATATTGTAGTATTTTCGATTAGTAATCGTGGGGATTAGTGTTAGTTATAGTAGCGACGTAATTACGTCGTTAGAGTTTATTATAGTAACGACGTAATTACGTAAGTTTTCGATTTGTAATCGTTAGGGCATATTTTGAGGGGACGGGTTTTTTTCCAGACAAGATAATTTCTGTTTTTCTGCTAACCCGACTTTGTCTGGTTTTTTCGTCCCGCCCTATCCACCCCTCGTAGGGTGGCTTAACGAACTTTTGTAGCGCGATATTTGGAATCTTTGTGAGTAGCCTGTCGGAACGACAGCTACATGAAGTTTATCGTTATGAGCGTATTACGCTCGGGTAGGTATCGTTGCATGGTAGGGCGTAATGAAGAAATGGCCATTGCTTAGTGAATATCAGAAGAGTTCGGCCTGTCGGACGACAGTCGAATCTTGAGTTTTTGGTAGATGGCCTGTCGGAACGACAGTCACAGAGATTTATCATTTGTTCGGATTTGGCCTGTCGGACGACAGTCAAATCTTGAGTTTTTAGTAGGTGGCCTGTCGGGACAACAGTCACAAAGGTTTTATTTTTATTTATTTATGTCGGGTTTGGCCTGTCGGACGACAGTCAAATCCAAGTTTTAGTAAATAGTCACAAAAATCGTATGTGGCATTACACTCGGGTAGGTATTGTTAGTTATTAGAGCGTAAAGAGGAAAAAGAGAACAAAACTTCGAAATGCGGTAGTCAAGAATTTAGTTCACAATTAATGAGTTTATGGCATATTTATCGATGCTTTCGAATTCTGCATTATGGTGGGACTATTGCACGAAGGAGCAGAGGCAGAATACCCGAAACTTTATTTCATTGTATTTCATTGCTTTTACAACCTCCTCGATGAGGGAAAAATGATATTTTCAAACCTCGTATTAGTTAGCCTGCTTATAAAGGTATGAAATCACTAACTGATGTTACATATCACCTAGTATTACATGTTATATAAAATATAATATTTTATTAATTTTTATTGCATTAAAATTATATAGTAATTTCATGTGACTTTTAAATTTTAAAATGTCCACATTACATTATGTGACATAATGTTTTGCATGGGTGGTGCTCATTTCACCGACAATCACTTCACCGACAGCTTAGTTCACCGACAATTAATTCACCGACAAGTTCATTTCACCGAC